GCAAGTAGAGATTAAAGTGAAACACTTCAGTCTTCTCCTCTGCCGCCCTAGGTGTCTGACCACCACATTAATTCCAGTGTCATCCAGAGTAACACTCTCTCCACATGGTTATTTGGGCATGGAATCATGTTTTCCTTTCACCTTTGCAAGCTTGTGTGAGGTTTTTTATGGTTTTCTTTATGGGTGCTACTGTTTTTCTGCTTTATTTTTGTGTTTGTAGACTAACAGAAGTCCTATTCTCTGCTTAATTTTACAAGAATATGGTGACTTTTCCTGTAAAAGCAAGAATTGGCTGTCTTTTCCTTAGGCGACTTGCCCACACAGAAGGCACACATGCACGCACATGCACAGCTCCCTTGTAAGCTCACTCTGTCAAGTCCTCCCTCTGTAAATTGGATCCCCGGGGGGTCCTTTTGCTACGGACAAACTCATTGAAAAGACCATCCAGCATTTTCCTTCTTTTGACACAAGCGCATTACAATATGTCATCTCGTGTCTGCAGACAAGGTGGGGATGACTCTCCGGCTGCATTTGTCATGGTTATCCTGTGGCGAGTTGTCACTTGAAGGTCATTTCAACATCCATTCCATTACAGGCATGTCAGTGACGAAGGTGGTCTGTCTCGAGAAATCAGTAGGTCAGTAGGAATGGGGTTAACTATACAGACCTATCATTTTCCAGGTTTGGTGGCTGTGTTTTCCTTCTGTTTGTTTGTTTGCTGCCATCTGTTTTGGCCTGTGAGCTCCAGCCTCTTGGTTTTCTGCTCTTTGTTCTCTTGTACTTGCTGCTTCCTGTTTGTAGTCTGTGTTTCTGTTTGTCCTGTTGAAATGGGTGAAACGTTTGGCTTCAGGGGAAGTGGGATCCATCGTGTACACCAAATGGAGATTGTCTTTTTTTTTTTTTTCCCCTGAGGATCATAAACTTTTCTCGTGTATTTTCTAGCACCAGCCATGCGTCATTGGAAAGAGAAACTGGGGTCACTTTGTGGAAGAGAACGGTAAAACCTAGGACTTCATTCTGAGGTTAGGGAAGTGATAATAATTAAAAACTAAGCCTGTACTTACTTTACTATTTACTTTATTCTGTAAACAGCAGAATAAAGTCTAATGTTTTTTTCCTGGGCCTTTTTCCTGTGGACAGATTTTCTGGTAAGTGATAAATTTTATGACCTGATAGCAACTGAACCTCCTCTGCATCTGCGATAGATACATCTGGGAAAGCTTTGCACTTCTGTACAGACCAAGGATTCATTGCAAGGCGAGTTCAGCGTAGAAGTGTAATTGCTTTACAAAAGGAAATAATGTGAGTGCTTTTGTGTAGCAGAACCCTCAGCTCAAGGCCAGAGTTTTGGTGTGTCAGTGAAGTTGATTAATCAGGTCTGATGTTAACAGGTGGCAGTGTGGCGTGGCTGGATACCATAGTCCTGATGCAGCTGTCCTTCCTTATTTTCCAGTCGTGAGTGAAGCTTTTTAGAGTGCAGATAGAGATTGCACAAATTGCACTGCAGAGAGCAGCACCAGCTGCAAGTAGCGATCCTTCTCTTGGGCCTGGCCCAAGAACATTTTCCATAACCTCATGCTTAGTGTAACTGCTGCAAGACATGCAAGTGTTGGTTGTTCCACAAAATAACTGCCACAGTGGTGGTTCAGGGGAATGGAACGTCAAGGGGAAGTAAGTACAGAAGTTTGCTATTGGTTTTGCCTTCTAGACATCTCCAGCGTTGAATCACAATCTTTAAGTTAGTGTCCTTTTTTGTATTTACAAACCTCTGAGACCATCTACAGAGGTAAGGAAAACAACAATCCCACTCTGGCATAAGGGAAGGCAGAAGAGAAATGGATTGCTGTGACCAGCAAAATTTAAAGTTGCTATTCCCAAGACTGTTCTAAATACTTAAACTGACTGGAGAAGTCCCAGATTTGTGAGTCAGATGTGTGCTGGTTTAATTTCCCAAATAGATTACAATGTGTACAAGACTGAGGCTGTACTAGATAAACCATTTCCTGTAGTAACTTATTTTTAAGAGGAAATGTGTAGCCTGTACTGGTCATCTTCTACAGTATCCTTATCGGAAAGGAACAAATCTATGTTCTCTGACAAATATCTTTTCCATAATGTCTCCAGCTTAGTGGTTTTGCACTCTTGACTTTTTCACTTAATTAGCTTTCCCTGTGTCATTTCAGTATCTCTGCTTTATTGTAGGATTTGAATAGCACTGGGGTAGGTACTTATTCTGCTTTGTGAGAGGCCTAGAAGTCAAGGCAGAGCATGAGTTCTGAAAAATCAGGGTTCTCATTGTTTAGACCAGCTGATAAAGCTGGGAAATAAATTAAAAAAACAAAACAAAAAAATCCCCCACCAAACCACTACCAAAACACTTTCAGCCACACATTTCCAGTCAGTTCAGTGTTTGTAAAATAAGGAACTTGCTTATTTGTTTGTTTTGGCAGTTACCAGTGTTGTTTAACTCAGGGTTTATTTTTTCTGTGTGGATTTCTCAAGACACTTTACTAAGGCAGTGTCCTAAAACCAGACTACACACAAAGTGGCCTTGTCCCACAGATGATGAAACAGCATTAAAAAAAAAAAAATTAAGTGCTAGAAGGAATGACTGTGGCCAAGAGGCAGTTTGGGTGGTTTTCTTCTTTATACAAGTTGTGTTCAAAATGTTCTCTCTTCCATAGTTCAACCATGTCAGCCCCAGTGGTATCACTGTGTCACTATCTATTCCAGGTAAGGCATTTAAGAAGGGTGTCAAAACTGTCTGCCAGCATTTCTTTGCATTGCTCAACAGAAGAATTACAGCCAAGTTCATTAGGCAACCCGTGTTGTAAGAGGTGCCAATAAGTTACTCAAAGGAAATGTACTAGTTTTGCTAGTTTGGTTGTGTTTTTTTTTTTTTGAAAGGCTCTGCAAAAATGAAAAAGTTTTAACTTGGGCTGGACTGTACACACCAGGGAGACTCACACCCCCGTTACATTCCAGTGACTCACTGTACCTTAACTTCTGTTCAGGACTAGTGAGCAAATAGCCTTGTGACAGACCATTTATTATTATTACATGGGATGATGAGCACACATAGTGCATGTCAGGTATGGGTTAAGACTTTATTTTCCTTTTTAAAAAGAACAGGTGGAGCTATGAGAAGCTTCACATGGCTTCTTGAGAACTCCAGTTCTGCCTGCTTCAGTGTTTCAGTTCTAACTTCAAGCTGCTCCTTTTGGATACAGTATCTCTGTACTGCAGCCATCTGTGGAAGGCAACAGGTGCCCTTCCTCAGCAGTTAGCTGGCAGTGGTGCAGGACTATCTCCTGTTTAATGTTACTGCTGAGACTTGTCACTGTAGGGTGCAGGCTCTAGCACAACTGCTCTTTCTAAAAAGCAGTGGAGTCACAATTATTTTACTCTTGAGAATTTTTCTATGCAAAATAAAAGGTAACCCCCCTGCTACCAGTGAAGGTGAAGAATTAAGCAAAATCTACTTCATCTTGCAGTGACTTGATTCACTTTTGAGTACTGTATTTTGCCCAGCAGATTCTGTACTTTCCCCCTTCTTGCTCATTTACTGTCCCCTCACCATATATAACTTCACTTTGTCAAATGTATCCAGGCGATTTTAAACACTTTATTTAATAAAAGTTAAACATACAAAACTGAAATTAACACACTTTGTATTCATAAAAATCACCTTCTCCCCTTATAGGGAGAACCTTTTCCTGTGTATGGATTCTAAACTACCAGTTGTAAAGTTTAGCTTGAGTTGTGACTCGGGTAACAACTGATGGACATTTCCACCAATCAGTGCATCAACACTTTCTGACGTGACCTGATCTAGTTAACAAATTACAAAATGAGCTACATTAACATAATATACAGGGAAATAATGGTCAGGGTTAATGGACAAGAAACACCCTTTAATTATTTAATGGGGAAACAGCTGATGTACTCTTGTCCATTAACTCGGCCCTAGATTTTACAAAAATAATATCTACATTGTATACAGGGCTACCCAATAACTGCTTTAAACACATTACGGGTTCAGAGATGGCACCACTACCGTAAGTGAGAGACAAGTAATAGAGGAAAGCAAATCACATGTAAAATACAAAAAAGCAAGAGCTTTTACACACAGTTTCCTGAATAAAATTTAAGGGGCTCAGCAGCACCATAATACAGCTGAAGTTATGATGACCTCTAGGGCCAGTCATTTATTAAGGACAGAAACCTCAGACTAATCTTTACTCACTCGATACTAAGTGGCCTCTAGGCATTTGTACCCTCTGTGCTGTAGTCTACTGGACTGGATGGAGGAGGCCCAGACACAAGTGTTACTGTGTATTACAGGCCTGTGAGCCTCCCATCAAACCTACACGATCTACAAGAGGGGAGATGGTAGCTCCTTTCCAAAGCACAACCATTTATATTCTCCAACCCTCTGATCCTTGGGGGGGGGGAGGAGGGATGGGTATTTTAAGTACAGTTCTCTACTTTGAAATAGGGTCTAAATACTCTACGGTTTTCTGGTTACATTTCAATAACCTCCTATTAAAATTTGATAACTATTAAAAAAAAGAAAAAAACAGTATCTCTTCTGCTTAACTTCTAGTGCAGGAAATTAAAACTGGAATTAAAGTCAGATTTATTGTTTCTACCACATGAATCATCATGCGTAGTAAAGATCCTATTGGCCTGTTCTGCCCTCATTTACAGCTGCACAAATCGATCTTCAGTGGATTTGTAAGGGAATAATTTAGAACTTCCTTAGCAATTCCATCTGATGTATAAGCTACAAGGGGATTCTAGCTCTCTCTCCCAGCGATGCAGCAGCTCTGTAATGCTGAGCTTGTCACTGAGACAGCAGACAGCACTGTGACTGCAGAAACAAGGAAGGTTGTTAAGCTGCCATTTTTATACCACCACTTTTCTTTAAGGGGAAAAAAAAAAACTTCACTACTAGTATGAATGGAAGATTCCGGAGATCAAAGCTGCAGATAACTACTGCTTTCAGAGTAACAGGTAACAGCAGTTCATGAAAGCATTTACCTGCAGAATGTATTTTAATGCAACTACAAAGAGTTTAATGATTAGGGGGCTCAAATCAATAGCTGGAGATTTAAGGCTTGTATCAGCTGAAGCCAAAGTGATGGTGACAAAATGGACTACTTGCTATGTGCCAACAAATAATTTACTTTTAGAAAAATATAATGATAAAAAGTGTAAAGCCCTGCAGAGATGAAGTTCCACCTTTTTCCCATTACTGAGGCATCAAATGCCTGACATTATATTTAGAGGTATCTTGATACTGTGTCATAGGTTTGTCTGCGATTCCACATGTTCCAACTCCAACCTTGCCAGTTACACTCTCAGGGGAAGCAAAGATACTCCTCTTTACCTGCAAATGAAACAGAAAACACCACTTCTGAGTAATTACTAACTTACTCTTAAAAAAACCCAAACAATTATTACAGTTTGAAGTGTCTCACCATTCTCAACTTCTCACTCCATAGATAGGCATGCTTTCTAAAGGCTAGCTCATCTATGGCACGTGATCAGCAGGTGAGATTAACAGAGTTGGTGACTTCCTGGCACCTAAGCACTACATGCGATCATGGTACTCAGGACCTTGGTTAGGCCAATAATGAATAAAATTCACCTCTCTCGTAAGATGATCTCTAATAATTGTTCATAAGGAAGACTGAAGTTTCATCACTATGTTTGGCAGCTCTTGGTCAAGCCATGATAAAAATGGAGTAAGGCTTTAAAATGTCTTTGCTACGTTTTTTGCACTATTCTTGCTATTCCAGGGCAACTGCTTAGCACTGCCAGGTCATAAACACAGCAAGAAGTCAGACTTGGAGGTTTAGACAGTCTCCCAGGGTTTAAGCTCCAACAAACACTACCTGACAACTGACAGTAAGCCCAGCTCTCCAAGCTAAGTGCAAGCTCAGCCTCTTAAGAGCACTCCTCCAAAATCATCCAGTACAAAGCCAAGCCTTTTAAGTGTACCAAATGGCACACTTCAGAATCCCAAAGATGAGCCCCTTAGAACCCTTTAAAAAACACTTCCTCCTCTATCCCCAAATTACTGCATAGATTTCTACACCCTGTTGTTATTCACATACTGACAAAACCAAACCAACCTGGCCTTTTTTGTTTTTAGAATAGGCTCTGTTGTTAAACTGTTGCCACTTGACTTTCTGGTCCTCTCGTTCCTGTTCAAGTTCTTTAATTCTCTGAGCTTTTTTCAAAGCTTTCTTCTTTTTGTACTCCCGTTGCTGAGCTATCATCTCTTTTCTGGAGAGAAGAAAAAAAGACAGTTCATGTTTGTGCCTTTTTCTGTAAGAAACTAAAATCCCTGTAACACAGACATGCACGATAGTTTTCCGTAAGTGAATAACAGAAAACAAAGCCCATAACTATTCTCCACTTCTAGGGAAAAAAAAAAATCCAGTCTTTCCATGCTTATTTGTATATTTGGGCATAACAACAACCACCACCACCTGATTAAGACAGTACCAAATACAGCGACCCACGGGGTTGCACGCAATTTATTTCTGAAACTGAAAATGTACCTATCAGCTTTTCTGTATTTCAGAAGCAGCTAGGGTTTGGAAAATTTCAATAGCCCAATTGAGTGAAAAGCCCAAACTTTTCTGGAGGTCTGCAGGACTCTCAAGCTACCAAGTATTGGACAGGGATTGAATGAAAGGAAGAAAGACAAGTTATTTGGTAAAAATACAGAAGTTCAAGGAGTCAATCTATGCTACAATGCAGTGCTCCTCAGAACGATCTCTTCAGGAAAGGATTATTGCCTGTAACAAACCCTGAAATTGTATTGCCTTTTTTCCCACTCCCCAGGAAAAAAAAAATGTTTTCAGCTTTTAAAAATACCTTTTTTAAGTTAGACACAGCAGGATACTGAGTAAAAGCCAATCTCCCCAGCAATGGTGTCAACAGAGCTATCCTAACACAGGGATGGGGGAGAAGCACAAGTCCTTCGTACTGGCAAGTATACTCTGCTGTGAGCCAGATCACACATCTGAGTAGAGCCTGCACTACATCTGGCCTGAAACTTGTAGGCTCTCTGCAGTCCATGAAAATGAGTACTGCTTACATACTTGAATATGTGAATATATTAAAGATATGTAGAATTTTAAGAAAAGAGAGATTTTATTTCATTAACCAATTTTTATTGCTGTGGGGAAAAAAAGGAAAAAAAAAAAAAACAAACCACCAAAGCAGCTTTGAGACTTCTGTCTGGGTGTTACTTACTTGGACATGGGTTTGTTGCCACAGTCCTCTTTTGCTTTTCTTCCCTCTTCCACAGGCTTGAGGTTGAACAGAGGTGTAACTTCAGCATTGCCATATCCAGCAAATGTGACTGCAGCTGTTCCGTTCTCCTCATCTATTTCTTCAATCTCAGCTTCATAACACCTGTAAAGATATCATGGCTGTAAGCATGTGAGTAAAGCTTTAATACTCAGCCCTTCAGCACCTACACTGTCAGCCAGCTAGCAGCATTAAGTAACAAGTTTGTAAATATCGGCCTTAGTTTTCAGGGACAATACACAAATCAAACCCAGAGATTATTTTCTTAAGGTAAAAGGGACACAAGTACAAGGACTGGAATCTGCTGTATTTGACATTTAGCATCAAGTAGCAATGGCCTCACAGTTATCAAGACTAATGATTAATACTGGGGCCAATCTAATCAGAAATCCTGATCTTGTTTATTTCTGGCAGGTCATGGGACTGAAAAAAAAAAGACCCAACAAAATACTGCATTCACAGAACACAGCTTTCACTAAATTCACTCAGGAGTGTTGGAAAATGTCAGCTCACAAGAGCAAAGCTTTGGTTCCATTTTTCTCTATAGGAAAAAGAATTACAAAAAACTGAAGCTTTCAAGATATTCCCCCTTCAACACTTACAAAGTTAAAAGTTTTCTTATTGATTTAAAATAGCAATTTTGAAATTTTAGCAGAAATCAGTCCATTTCGTATTTATGTGTATGAAACATTTTGGTCAACCAAACTGACCTCATAATGGGAAAGAGGAAAAAAAGACAAGTGACATTTCCAAAAAATACTTAAAACAATTGAGTCTAAATTCAGAGCAAAAGGATACATCTAAAGCAAAGAGATGAATCAAATTAGATGTTTCATAGACAATATCCCAGTTAACATTTACTAAATTAATTTATTGTGCGATTTTAGTGGGCCAACAACATCTTGAGTTGAGCTAGATGAAAATACATGGAAACTTAAACTGCATGAGGTAAAAAAATATTAATATCTGGCTAGCTCTTCATGAAACACTCATCTCTTAAGAAAAAGCAATACAATTAAAGTCTAATAAGATCCACTTCAGTGGACACTGGCACATTCTTCCTCAAGATCTGATCCTATAACCCTGTGATCAGAGCAAAAAGAATGACCCAATGCTGACCTAAGACAGTAAGATTCAATTTTTAATTCTAACACAAAAGCATTTTACTCATTAATACTGTGTGACAGAAAAACTGTTCACTTTTAGGTTTGTTTTCTACCCGAGACATCAATAGCTTTGCTAAAATTTCTATGTGGTTACTACATTAATAGAAAAGCATTTGTTGAACAATAGAGCTTCTCTGTAAGTGATAATGGTAGGGATATTAGTCTTGCATAAATAGAAAAATTTTAAAAGCTGCAACAGTTATACATTTAGCAGTATGGAAAGTAATTTTAGAAGGCTTATTTCAAAGATTATGAAGTCAGAATGATCTGCTTCGGTTCCCAGAACTTCACTACACGCAGCCTAATGTAATGGAGACTAAATCCAAAGGTTGATTAATTGTATAGTTACATTACACAGCTAGTTATTTCATAGCCAAAACAGCACTTACAATTAAAAATTAACTTCTAATCAGTGGCACAAACTGAGATATAGCAAGGATTTTTCTTGATAGCAATTAGTTACATATATATGAATTCAATGAAAAGTTATGAATTTAACATTCCAAAACCTTTACAGAAGATTCCTCTGACAGATCAGTTCATGAAAATCTGCCATTTATTACATTAGGAAATGATAACTTACCAAAGCTACCCTACTTTTATAAGGTTAGTGACAAACAGGGTTTTTCTAGAAAGTGACCCCACATCTCTTTGTTTTTTATCTGAAATACTGACCTTTAATAAAGAGAGTACAATAGCTAATATCCTATTTCTTTCCTAATTTCTTATTGCTTTTTAGTCACCCTAGAGGCAGTTCAAACTGAATGAAAAACTCTTACCATTGAACTATTTCATGTAACTGTTACAGAAGTTTTCTACACTTACTGTCCATCCTCACTCCATATTGCCATACACCTATCCCCAACCTTCCAGGAGTGACTCGGCAGAGCAGAAGCAGAACTGTCAGAACTTGCAAGAGTTTCCGAAGGTTGTGTTGAAAGGAGATCTTTGGTTAATTCTATGACTTCCTAGAAAAGACAAGAAACCCACAAAGAATAATTTTTCATACTCTGTTACCATGCATATTTTTACCCGAAGCGTACTGGTTTGTTTTGGCTTTTTTTAAGTTACTGTGTTAAATTCATAGCTGATATAAAGTGGACTAAGTTTTTTTTGTTTGGGTTTTTTTTTAATCATTTAACTAAACTCGCTCATTGCCAATGTGGATAAGAGATATGGTCTTCACTGTATTGCAGTGAAATTGCCCATGCCCTCCTCAAAATTTAAAAATGCAGCCCATTATTTTTATAGCATCTCTTTCTAGATGAGTTGTTTATACATAGGTACAAAGACACAGCTAGGCAGTCTAAAGAAAAAAAAAAATCAACAGCGTGACTCAACACATGGCTGCACCTGATGTTGGTTATTGATCAAAAATGACACAACATAGCATAGGACAGCGCTCTAAAGACAAAACATGAATAATGCTTCTATTATCTCTCTAACTGGCAGGTTTCTTCCATCCCTTCCCATTTGGGACTGCCCAGCTATATATATATAGTAATCTCTAAAACACACAACTACAAGCATTTCTAAGTGATGTAGCATTTTTCAGTTTATTCAAAAATATCTGGATTGGCTGAACTGAAGCACCCAGAGCCAGGGTGAAACAGTACCTTCCAAGACTGCCACTCTGTAAAGCCCTCTCCTTTATAGAAAGCATTCATGTGCATACTAAAGAAATTGACTCTCTTAAATCATTTTGATCTAAGTGTTTGTTTTTCTCTAAATTCCCTGACCTTAAGATTTCAGGTCAGACCTTCCCAGCTAACCCAACAAGATAAATAACAAAGTAACAATTTTTTCCCATTCCTTTAAATATTACCCATTCCCAGACAGGAGTGTGCAAAAACCCCTCCCCAACTTCCTGTCAGTGTTTTATTCTCATTCCATGCAATCAAGACCACTGGTTTTCACTAGTGTTAAGTCAAAGGAGCCAGCACCTAAAAGGCCATTTAAACTCTCCATATGAGGCAAAGCCACTCTGCAGTCCTTAAAGAAGAAAAATTCTTTTTTTCTTTCGAGTATCTCAGCATGAACCATTGTCACTCTCCTAACTAACAGTAAATATTTTAATTAGGGCAGGGTTACAGATAAACAGTGTTCAACTGAGAGTCAGTGGAGCCTGAACTTTCCTCCCAGTTTCACATCCCAGCTCTGGGCATACAAAAACTAGCTCAGGAAAAAGCAGTAAAGAAGCTGTTTTCATTCCTCAGGAACCTAAAGGACCATAAGCAGTTCCCAAATAACAAGTTAATACAACATAAACTTACATGCATTTTTATCGGATCGACAATACAACCAGCATGAATGGCCTAACAGTTTGTTTCTATTGCAGCTGTTAATGACTGAATTTCCAACACCTTCCTAACAAAAGTTCTGCTCTTTGTTTTAGAGGAGCTGCTAGTTAATAAGTGCAACAGTAAGCACCATCAGCAGCAACTGGAAGCAGAGAAACATGCTTACAATTACTTCTACTACTTCGGTCTCCATTTTCAGTAATGCTACAACTGAACCAGAACAGATTTTGGTTATCAAGTTACCTAATTTGAGAGCGCTACACAGAACACACAACATTAGCCTAATTTTCCCTCCCGGATGCAAAAACCTCAAACTATTCCTCAACATACAGACAGCTGTGTTCTGCAAATCCAAGAGGCATCATGGTTTGAAGTAGGTCACACACACGCTACCTGAAAGTGAGTATTTCAGCCATGTAGACTACCAGTAATATGAAACTGTTACCTAGTCTTGCCATGTTCATAGACGGCTTATTGTAGACCTCAAATGTGAATAGTTTCAGACAAGTCTACCAAGGATTCTCTGAATTTGATAAAGTCACTTAAACATCAGGCTACAAATAGGAAACTTTTACTGAAAATCTTCATCTGATATTCACATATCATAGTGCTAAGCGCACAAGAAGGAAACATTACTTTTACTGCGACCCATGAAATAGTTGTAAAGAAGCCTTTAACAGAATAGCTCATTTAAAGAAAATTTCTGAGCATGAGTTAGACTCCCACAGCAGCCCAGTACAGCCCAATGGGTTGAACAATATGGCTTGCTGCCACGTCCCCATGACACAAAGGTGCAACCCACAGAGAATACCAGCTAGATTTAACAAAGCTTTTCCTGACCAACCGGTCTTTACAAAGCCAGAGAGGGATCTACGCTGCAGAATGCAACACCCACAGATATCATCTGCAATTACAGAAGATGGCAGCTGCCATCAATTCTACTTGATACAAAAGGTAAGTTTGGGCCTTGGTTGCACAGACACTGTCCTAGAAGCACCTCAGTGACGCAAAAGGTAAAAGCCAAAGTATTTATAAAAAATTATTGTAATATTTATTTTAATCTTGTTACTCAGGAATAAGCTGTGTATACGAAATGCAGTAGCACATCACTATTTATGACAGAAAAAAATGTTTAATTACATTGTAACAATCTTTTTGAACTAATTTGAATGCTATCATTTTGAACTAATTGGAAAGCTATTTAGTTGGGACACTGACGCATGGAACCCATTTTTACAATTGTTAGGTTGGCATATATTAAGTCTGCAAAACATTATGTCATTTTCAAGGTGGAACATATGGATAGCAAACCTTTTGGGGACGAAAGTGTAAAGATCTTCCCCATTCTGTGCAGAAAGCTTTTATAAAAAAGTTTGCAAGTTGTCCTTTCACATCAATGATCTCTGCATATCAAAGCGGAGGTCGTGTTGGTATCGGAAATATCATCCCATATGAGTTTTGCTGTGCATTTTAAAAATATAAAAATATACACATGCTTTTAACAGTGTACAACAAAGGACATTAAGATGATCTATGAAGTGCCTTGTGGGCACAAAGCCTTTGTAATTTAAAAGGCATTCTAAAGATCACTGTTTTGAGGCACTACTCATATTTTGGTTGAGGCATCATTTTTATTGCTCTTATTTCCATGCAGAATAGTGGTTACTGAATCTTGTACTGGGTAGTTTCATATATTTTTAGATCTGATGGCTAAAGCAATCCACAACAGAAATGAAGCAGCATCTTGAACTCTCATGACACATTTTAAGAGTACTGCCGTTTTTTTTATATGCCAGTGTGTCTTTAGAGGCACAAGAATCTAAAAGACCACTTATCAACTTAAAATTAGGCAGGTGGTCTTTCTCTAACCAAACAATACTCTAAGGACCAGAAATGTTTTATCTCTTAAAAGCAGAGTATGCTCTCAAAGGTTTAAAAAACTGCAGCTAGCAAATGAAGAACACAACTCCTTTCCTTTCATATATAAAAACCTTAACACAAGGCTTAGATGTACAACGTATAGTGAACTATACTCTAAAGCTTTTATCATTGCAAATGAATGCAATGAATAAACACATTCCAGATCAAATGATTTGATAACTCAAAAGTAAGCACACAGGCATAATGTTAAGCCCATCAGCCTTCAGCATAGTAAAACCAATGCTTTAAAAAAAATATAAAGAAAAAGAGATACTAAAGAAGCACTGGCATCACTCTGGCTAAAGTTTTTAGTAGAAGAGTTTGCTATATAAATTACTACTTTTTTTACTAATCTACAAGACAAGTTTAGAATAGGCAACTCTTTGTTTGTTTTTTTTCAAACCAACCCTACCATAATTGTATCAAATTCTGGGAAAATAAAATAATAAACCCACCAAGTGTGTATATATATATATATATAGTTACAATGCACACATTTAGGAAGTATGAAACACAGGAAATAGGAAACACCCTAAAGTTTCAGCTACTCACAGCCTCAAGTTCTCACCTGTAAGTCTTTCTTCAGTTTTAGTAAATCTTCATTTTCTGCATTCCCAGATAAGGCAGCCTCAACTTGCTGAAGCTGGGCTTTGTAGCTAGCTAACTGCTTAGCAAGGTCTTCTGACATCTGCAAGAAACATATACATACATACACAATGCATCAAAACAACAGGCTTGCTGCTTTTGAATCACGTCTTGTTGAGCAAGTAAAGTAAAACAATACAAAAAGCTATTAGTAGAATATTAAAAATACAACTAAGTAGCAATAACACACTATCTGAATACAGATAGCTGCTCATCTTAATTTTTGTTCTGTTCAACTCCTCCGAAGAAATTTCTAAAAAATAGAGCTTTAACACGTGCCTGTGGGCGCGCACAGGGAGAACGCGTAACCAGCCAACCAACCAACCTACCGTACTATGCTGCGGCCCTTCAAGCAGCCTCCAACTTACCCACCTCTGTACAAAACCACCATGCAGGACTCTTTTTTTTCCCCTCCAGTGGCCACAAACCACAGCCTTCTGGTTTACACCAGCGAAACCTCAGCGGCACCCGGGGCC